GTGTGGGGCGGTAATGCGGCGAATAGATCCTCGATTGGAGCGATGGGCGCATCGGTATGACTCCCTCACTCAGAAAAAATACTGAAAAAAGAAGTTCTATTACGAACAAATAAACGATGGACATCACAATTCGAAATATGCAACGCTTAACGATTGTGCTTTTACTTGTGTGTGTTTCAATCTTTTTCCCTGCAGACTTCTGTCATGTGACTTGTTGTGTATTTCCGATTTTTTCATTTTTTGTTCTGTTTCAGATATAATGTGGTTTCATCAAACAATACTTCTGGTACCTTTGAATGTCCGCTTTTCGCTTCAAAGAAATTTTCCACGATCATGGCCCCGTAGTTTTAATTTTGCTCTCTTTTTTAATTGTACGAAGTCCCAATTGTGTAGCGCAGATTTGTGCAAACCCCCTTGACATTCGAAGTTGCGAGACTGGGGTGTGCATAGAAGTCGAGAATGGCCGCTCAGCGTGTCTGTGCCCTCCAGGATACGCCCCTACAGGATCAGACGATGCGAAATGCCAGCGTCAGTGAGACGATGGTGTTTCAGGTTAACCCCATTTATTTCAGTGATTAATGTTTGTGTCACATATCCAAACGAGATTTGCTTCAATAGTGGCACGTGCTCACAACCAACTGGGGTTTCGTAAGCTTTAAACGATTGGCTGGATCGAATCAACCATTTCAGACCATATCAGTACACGTGCTCTTGCCCACAAGGATATGCAGGCAAAAACTGCCAGCGTGAGACAGACAAGAAAGGAGCATCCTAATCTGTGTATTTCAGTGAAGGTGGATATTTGCGGGCAATCAGTGTGCCTGAATGGAGGAACTTGTGTTCTTGATGCCACCAAGCCATCAGGATATTATTGCTTGTGTCGCCCTAGTTACACGGGAACCCATTGTGAAGGTACGAAGCTTGTCAACTTCAATCCATTTGAGCGCATCAGCTGAAGTTTCAATCGGCGTTGGAGGGTCAGGAACATCACTCTCAACAGGTGAGTCCCAATTAAGTAAAATAGACGATGCTTTGTTGCAGTTGAGCTGATCCTCTGTTGGGGAATTTGGATTTTGATGGCAATCACGTTCTTGTATTGTGCCGTGAATATGATTATCGGATGGTGGGGAGCGAAGATGAAGAAAGCTGTTACCGGTGCTGTAACTGGGGGGTAGAGAGAATCATGATTGCGATTTTGAAGTCTTCCATTTTCTGGTGAATTTGAAACAGCGGACCCAGTAGTGCATGTGCATGTTAGAGAGCAGGAGAAGGAGATTGACCTCTACTTGCCTTCTTCGAGCAATTTTTTAACGTAACATGAGCGTACTCACTGCTTCCACCTTCAAAGTTTGTGCTCCGCCGGTAGAGTTCTTCGATTTTCCTCTTTACTTTCCCGCACCTAATTTTCGCGGTCGTCCACATCCACAAGCAGACCCAGTAGAGAGTCAAGAGAACCGAACAGCTGCAGAAGAAGTGAGTGATTTTGTTTTTCATTTATTTTATATCATCTCGTTTGGTTCAGAGAAGAAAAGCTGAAGAAGCAGCCGCAAATCTGGCACCGAAGCCAGATGTTCAGAAACAGAAGTTTCAGCAGATTTCGGTATGAATTCAGTTGAAGCTGATTCAATTTTCTTCTTGCTTAGGGAGGAAAACCAGAAATTGGAGCGCAACAAGCTGGTGATCTAGCGCGTAGCATGGTGAGTGATTCTGAGCATATTATGGTTCAGTTGTCTCTTCAGGGATTCGCCCCATCACAAGCAGATATCGCTGCTCTTCACTCCCAACATGGTGATCGGGTCACATTTGATCAATTCCAGCAATGGCAAAGGGAGAGATGCGTGCCTCATAAGGCTGCTGATACAGTCCCTGACCTTGAGAGATTTTTCAAGGATTTTGATTCTGATGGAAGTGGTTCTCTCACAAAACAGCAAGTTTGTACCTTGTTAGGGAGTTATGGAGAAGCTCTCACTGAGCAAGAGGTTGACTTTATTTTTAAGTACGTTATTGTTTTCTCACTATTCTCATTCAATTTGCTCTCAGAGAACTCGGCATTCAAGGCGATCGTATCGATTATCATGTGTTTGTAGAGAAGTAGGCTGAAACGCTTTCTCAAGCAATCTCCATTCTGTCTCTCCTTCAGATTACTGCAAGAGGAGAAGAGCGCATAGGCCTCCCCATCTACTTTTATTCATTCTACTTCTTTTTACATTTTCGGCATCTTTGCTTGATTTTAAATTTTCGCCAATTTTATTTGTTTATGTCTTCCCTTTCTGATTATTGGGCCTGCCACCCTGCATGTCATTTCTCTCCCCTGAACGCATTTCATTGCTATTTTTGGTACAAATTCAGCCTCTCCAATCAGCTCTGCTGATCACCACCAAGTCGCTTCAACAGTGTAAAATAACTATTGTAAGGAATAAGACTTAGCAATTCAGCTCTCAACGTTTCATTGATACTAGCGTCACTGTTCTGCTTATCTTCTTTTTGATGTTGATTGCATCGAATAGACAAGCTGCCGCTGTCAATCAATAAAGTTCAAATTCCTTTTCGTAATAACGTTACAGGTTCTTGTTTTTTCTTTGTTGCTTTGCTGATTCGTATTTGCAAAAAACGCCAATAATTATTGCTCTTTTTACCATAATAGCTTACCCTTTTTCTCGTACTCCAGTTTCAACTTGTTGCTTGCTCCGATTCGCATGCTTCACACAGAATCATTGTGAACGTTACTTCAATCGCCCATACCCTTGATAATTCTGTTGCAGATCCATTTTTATTAATAGATCTCTACTTCCCCAATCGTTTCTCCAATTATTCAAAATCTCCACTTCTTAACTTTTTCCTCAATTTTCGACATGAAACCGCTTTCCATCGTATCACGTTCTTGAGTCCTCTCTTGCTCTTCCATTATTTCCTCCACTTGAAGTAACATTCAGTCCAATGCCTTCGTCAAAGCTCTGTCCCGAAGAAGTCTCAATGCCGGAGGATACCGTCAATGGGTATTACACCGAACTGCAGCGCTCTCTCGAAGCTTCAAAGTTTCTCTTCCCTTCTAAAGACGACGCATCGCTTGGAAGTCAAACTGATTTCTCATCGCAACAATTTCTATCTAATTGGAAATTCAACACCCATTTCACCAGCACAGCATTAATGGAGTCGTATCCTTCTGAGAGGTCCACTCGACGGTATTCAACCGCTACCCTGCTGTCATTCCGAGCAACAGTCAGACCTCTTCGAAGTCCTCTTCTTATCGGTCTCATTGATCGTATTGCTTCTCCGAATTGTTGCCAACAAAACTCATCTCTTCAAAAGACATTATCTTATGAAGAATTGTCCCCTCGTCCTGAACTTGTCCCTTTCTTCAAAAACTCCTCTCGTGAACGTTTCCCCGAGAGTCTTTTATTGTCTCTCTCAAGCATAGATCGCTCGACTAGCCCGTTAAGACGCATTAATTCGAGTGGAGATCCAAGACCATTCACATCGTCTCCCTCGTCGGAGTCTCTTCGTTCCGAATTTCGTTACTCTTCAATTTCTCCAGATCACATCGCAAGAATTCGTTCAACTGATTCTTCATATTCCCCATTGGGACATTCAACGAGTCTCGTCTCCTTCCCTGAATCACTTGAAGACCATTCGGATACTCAACCCAAGCATCTTCCTCGTCACTCAGCGTCTTTTTCTCTTTCGAATCTCGGTCTTGCACATAACGACTCTTTGGATCCGCAACACCGCGAAATCGTTCCTTTTGGTCAGTCAGGATTTTTTGCATTTCTTAAATCTTTACCACAAAATGAATTCGTGCATCTCGCTCGAAGTGTTGCCCGTTATCGAAGGACTTCCCGGATCGATTCAACTCCAAGTACAATCGTCTCGATCAATCTTTGCTCTTGTACGACACCACATACATCTTCCGTCTCTGGAGCTAATTTTCAAACTGACTTCTGGCCCCATCAACTTCCAAGGAGTGGTGCGCTCCACGGCGTTCTAGATACAGTTCTCAGTGTGATGCTCGTTGAATTGCACCCAGATCTTGAAGTTGTTGAATTTCTTGATCGCCGCCTCCCTGCTGTGATTCGCCAACAAGTCGGAAATCGTCTAGATCGAAATTTTGTCGTGCAAATTTTTGGTGTTAGTTTTATGCGCGCCCATCTTGCAGGCCTTTGGAAAGTCGGCGACCTTCCGGAGTGCTCGGCTGCCGATATGCGTCGGCTTTGTTCTCATCCCCTTTACCACCACATGCTCTACGATATCAGCAATCGGTCCGAAATCCCCGTGTTCAGAAATCTAAATCTTTGCCCGATCCAATACTCAGCAGCGCGCACAACTCCGGCATTTCTTCAGCCACTAACAAGTTCGCTACCGAAGACTGTTCTGACTTCAAACGCCCCTTCAACGGTGTGCTCCTCTAACGAGCTGTCTCCTCTCTCTACATCAAAGGGTTCAATACAAGCAACTGCAAGAACCCACCGTCCAAGTTCTGAGATTTAGCTCTCTTCATTTGCCATGTACCGAAATCAGTGTGCTCGTTCAATTGCCGTGTTGTAGATTTTTCTACGTGCTATGAAGTCTTCAGCATTTTTACATTGTAGTGCACAAAACCACCCAAAAGTCCTACTTTCCAGGAGGTCACTTCTTTGCTGGAGGCCGTCCTGGCGGAGCTGGTTTGGCGCCTGAAGGAGGTCCTAGCTTGGCACCAGGAGGTCCCGGCTTTGCACTGGGAGGGTCCCGGCTTTGCACTGGGAGGTCCCGGTTTTGCACCTGTTGCACCAGGAGGTCCCAGCTTTGCACTCGGAGGGTCCCGGTTTTGCACCTGCTGGTGTTGCACTGGGAGGTCCCGGTTTTGCACCTGCTGGTGTTGCACCAGGAGGTCCCGGCTTTGCACTCGGAGGTTTTGCACCTGATGGTTCAAGTTCTGATGGAGCAGGTCCCGGAAAAGACCCTGTCTTTTCAATCGAAGGAGGTCCCGGTTTTGCACCTGATGAAGGTTTAAGTTTTGCAGCTGATTAAGGTTCAAGTTTTGCACCTGATGGAGATGCTGGTGTTGCACCAGGAGGTCCCAGCTTGGCACTGGGAGATCCTGCTTTTGCACTTGAAGGGGCTCCAGGCTTTGCACCTGATGGCTCTACTGGTTTTGGGGCTGTAGGACTCGGAAGTCCTGGTTTTGCACCTGAGAAACCATCTAGATTGGAGAACAACCAGATTTTGTACCTGGTTTTGCAGTAGGCTTCACAGCTGTAGGGGACTTAAGATCGGGTTTTGCACCTGAAAAAGTTTGTCTGTTGAACAGATCATGCGAATATTAAGATTCACCAGCCTTGGCTCCATCTGGTACGGACAATTTCGATCCAGGAATCGCTGGCTTTGCTGGAATAGTTGGTTTTCCAACAGATGTTGGCTGTAGGCCCGTTGCTTCTGAATTATCGGCATTCAGTAATTCATGATCAAGAGACGTCACCTTTAGGAATCGTCTTTGTTACGCGAATTGCTTGCGCAATATCAGGCTCTAACAAATAGGAATTCACAATCGAATGTCCCAATTAGCTCACCAATAATGAATGTTGCACCAGGGGGGGGTTCTTTTTGCTGCAGCAAGACTCTTCCTTTGAGATACAGAGGAAGGTTTCCGTCTGGGAGGCTGTTGCAAGATGACATTTTGGAATTGCCAGAAACTCACGTTGTTGCTTGTGGAGGTGGAGCACCACTGAGCTCAATATCCCTGAAGAAAAAGAATTGCTTTTAAGACTAAAAAGATGCTTACCGCATTTTTTGCCACTCAGGAGGAAATCGAAGGGTTTGTTGTGCCTGAAGACAAACAGTCATGGAGTATGTCTTAACAGTCTCACTTGAATGAGATCATGATCTAACATATCGATAATGACGTGCTGCTCTTCAATTTGTTTTTCGAGTCTGAAAAACATTTTCAACCCGGTCATTTTGGGACTCACTCACTTTCTGCATGACAATAAAAGTGAAATGACATCTGTTTGATCTTCAACCTCTAATTGTGTGTAATAAGTCGCCATATCACTTAAACTTCGATACGGACTCCTAAAAATCAAAAACTGATCAAATTGTAGAATCCGTAATTATTTCTACCGGCGATAAGTTGTCAGTCCTCCTTCAAAGGGTCTTCTTTGTTGTCCCAATTTCCCTCCCCTAATCGAGTCTGTCCCACGCCTATTTTTTGCAACATGACGTTTCCTTTTCCAATCAGATATAAATTCTTCCTTCCAATCGTGCCTCGATGAAACTGAACTTGCGTCGTCTGGAGGCCTCAAGGATCGCGTTTCATTTAACTGAAGAAAACACATTCATCTGTCCCAAATCATCAATCGCTTACATTTTTCTCAATGTCTCTCCATGCAGTTCGGCCAATCATTGAATCCCCAATTCTTTTTTCAACTTGATGAGGCCTGCGTGTTCATCATGCAGCGTGCATTTCTATTAATCACTCACTCATCGATTTGCTTTTCTTCAATTATTCGGCGTTTCCCTCTACGAGACGCTCCAGTCTGTGGAAGTTTGTATCGGCTGAACTGCGAATGGAGTGAAATGGAAGGATCGATACCGCAAGTTGGACACATTGGAAGAGAACGAGTTTGGAAACTATCTGGAGGACGAGAATGCGGTTGGGATGGAAGGAGACGCGGTTGGGATGGAGGGAGACGCGGTTGGGATGGAGGGAGACGCGGTTGGGATGGAGGGAGACGCTGTGAACGGAGGTCGATAGGGACGCTTCTTGGTTCCGCATCAGACAACGACAGAGGGATTGGTTTGCGAGACTGAAGGATTGAAATTTGGGACATTGTTTCATGCGTCTTCGTACTTCTCTGATCTCTGGTGGAGTCCCAAATCTCGAAATGTCTTGAAAATCAAAGATGAGGGAAATTCTGATTAATCGGGTTTACCTCTGAATGTTGGAAATCGATCGGTGAGAAGCGGGGGGGGCAGAAGGGGAGCGTCTGATTAGAAATTTGGGACATCTGGATGGGAGGAATGATGAATTTACATGCAAGGAGCAAGACGAGGTCCATGGGGATCAAGAGTGAAAGAAACTTGATTGGAATCTTCAGAAGTTCGACGAAGAACCTGAAAAAGAGAACTTGCAAAACATTTGGGACTCTCTGTTTTCTAACATTCATCGCTCGAAATTGAGTCTCTTCTAAATTATTCTTGATGCCTGACGCGATTTCGATCGAGTCAACGATTCCAGTGAGAAGCGCTTCTGGTGTCTGAAGAATAAAAACTATTAAAAGATTGTTTGTTATAAAACTTACAGAAATCATTTGAATTTTTGTGTCTTCAGGTCGACGTGCAATATGAGCGACAACATCGTATGACGACATTCGCTCTCCTACTGCTGAGTTGAGAAATTCAATAGGGAATTTGGCTTCAGTTGATTCCAGCGTCTCTGTCCCAAAATGCGGTTCCGGCATCTCCATTAGATCCTTTGCTGGAATGTGCTTCACGACTGGACTCTTTTTCGTGACTGGACTCTTTTTCGTGACTGGACTCTTTTTCGCGACTGGACTCTTTTTCGCGACTGGAGTGTCCTTCACCACCGAACTGGCTTCGGGTCTTTCCTCATATTTTGTTCTCGTCACAATCACTTGTTTGGAAACAATTCTTCGAGTCCCATTTTCTGTTGGGTGTTGGGAAAGATTCATTCGGGAATTCATGAACTTCTACTTGACGAGATTTCAGACGTTTTGAGCGCCGCAGGTTTCTTTAATTCAATCGTAGCCATATAGAACTTTGTATGTATGGATGGCAATAGTTGAAGTCCCAGGCACGCACTGTTATGATCTCACAATCAACTCAAATGATAAAAATCACACTGGGAAACAAACAATACGGAACCGACAATTTTGTGGTGCTACGACACAAGTTTTTTCATTTTTGCTTCATCCACGTCACCGAGGTCGCTGGCTTGAACCGATTTTTGATGACCGGAGAGTTTATCAGAAATCACTGAAGACACTGATCACAATTAGAACCCACCAAATGCAACCCACCTTGACGAGTTGAAGCATAGATCATTTTTGCTTTCACTGGCGCCGTGTCTGGTGCCCACATAATGAAAACCAGCTTCGTTGTTCCTGGGACTTCGACGACGGCGTAGCGACAATCCTCAGCAGGAAGGGACGCTTTGAAGGCCTCATAGGAAGAATCTTTGTCCCCGGTGGAATCCACCACGATTTCTTTATCGTCCTCAATTTTGAACGTGACGAACATAAATCTATAAAAACAAAGTTTTAGAATTCCTGAAATCAATTGACCCACTTGTGTTTCAGCTCATGTCGTTCCATGTGGATGAACATGAATCGTGGAGGACGATGCCCGTTGCCATTTTTAAAAAAGGGAAGACGAAGAGTGACGGACAAGTGAACCTTTGTTTTGCGCGGTACAGGGTCCTCTTTCATGCAAGCTGTACGACAGAAAGTGCGTGAACGATAATTCTTAATAAAAATCACACTCATCAAAAAATCAAAGAAATCATCAAACAGTTGAACGCAAGTGTTTAGCAAAGAAGCTCATCGGTGTTGCACTTCGAGGGGTTTCAACCCCTCCGTCTATCGCCAGTTGGAGTGCAAGCTCGAATTCGGACGGCGACCTGCTCAATTGCCTCTAGAACGGCAACACCTTCAGTTTCAGACGAGAGTCCGCGCTCTTTGCAACAAATGGGTGTC